AGCCCCAGGGAAAGCCATACCTCGCCGCAGCTCTGCCTGTCCCCCGCAGCATGGCTGACGTAGGGGGAGTAGGAGATCATGTCGGGGCGGTCGATGTCGTAGATGGCCTTGTTTTTGGGAAGAGCTGCCAGGTCCCTGTAGTCAAGGATCTCATCGCCAAGCTTTGCCTGAGAGGAGAAAGCAGAGCGTGGGCTGGGCGGCCCTGGCCGGGCCGGCACCGGGCTGAGGGCCGCGGGGGCTGCGGGGCTCCAGCAGTGTCAGAGTGCGCCCAGCCCACCCGGGGACGAGGCTGGGACTCAGATCTGCAGCCGGCCGCCAAGGCAGGCTTTGAACACTGGTCTTGCATGAGTTTCCTTCTCTATGAATTACGAGGAGAAAGTGGCTTCTCAGTCAGAGGCCAGGGTCAGAGGTCACACTTGTAATTTGTCAGTTCAGAGCCTGCAGATGGTGAGACTCAATCGGTAGTATAAACACACACACACACACACACACACACACAGGTGCGCAATACATGGACACACACCCAGTGCACACATGCATACTTACATATGCCCCCACACACATTAGCACACTTGCTTGTATACCAGGACTCGTAGAAAACTTACACTTGGACACTCAGAACTTATTTTATTTTTCTTTTAGGTCCGGTCGTGGGGCCTGAACTCTGGGCCTGGGCACTGTCCCTCAGCTCTTTAGCTCAAGGCTAGCGCTCTACCACTTGAGCCACAGCACCACTTCCGGATTTTTTCTTTTTGCTTATGTGGTGCTGAGGAATCGAACCCAGGGCGTCAGGCATGCAAGGCAAGCGCTCTACCACTGAGCCACCTTCCCAGCCCCTCACTCAGAACTTTTGAACACATAAAACGCAACAGCAAGATTCCTGGCATTTGAGAACCAGGGCATGACTTCAGGGTTTGTGGACCCACAGCTGTCCCACACTGGTCCACGCTGGCCTGCCCTGGCCCACAAAGTGCTTCCTCACACCCCTGAATCAGCCAGGGACCGAGTGCATCTTTGCATTTCTCATGTGCTGGACTGAGTCTCTATATTTCTCAGGTGACGCCCACCTGGCCAGCCTGGCTCCCGGCTCCCGGCTCCCGGCTCTGCCATCAACCCCCAGTCTCCTCCTGCATTACCCCATAGCTACAGATCTGTGTTGTGGGCACACGCATGCACATGCATGCACACACGTATATACAGACACACACAGACACACACATCTCCCCCATGGGAGACGCTCTCTGCTCACGAGGATGCTGCCCTCCCCCTCCTCCCCCACCCTGCATCCACACAGAGCTGTGCTGGGCTTCTCTGGCTGGTCTGCCCCGCTGTGGCTGTGGGTGACAGCCTGCGCTGGACTCTCATGGGTGGCTGGATGGCTGGGAGGGGAAGCCCAGGTCAGGCAGGCATCCATCTTCCCCGGGTTTGAATCCCCTTTGCTGTCCGCCCATTCCTCTGCCCGTCCTCGGTGGCCCTAGCTCAGTGTCCCCCCCCACAGTGTCCCCTCCCCCTGCGCCCACTCACATAGATCACGCGGCTCGGGGACCCCGAGGTGCTGGAGGCAGGCGCGGAGATGACGCTCTCCGAGGAAGTCCTGGTCTCCTGGAACAGAGGGTGGAGACTGAGCAGAGTCTCAGCATTAGAAACCGTCCAGAAGCAACTACCACGCTCCAGCAGAAATGCCAGCTAGAGTGGTTCTACCTGTTTATTCTCAGGATAGACACACAGGCTTGGAGGAAGGTCAGGAAACTACACCCAGACAGCACGGCGGGCAACACAGTGATGGACAAAGGGCAGTGCCAGGGCCAGATGGCAGCACCGGGATGGTATGTTTCTAGGAAAGAGGCACCTGGCCCCCACTGGCTGGACAGACAGGGCACCCTGCCTCTTCTAGCTGGACGGACAGGGCACCCTGCCTCTTCTAGCTGGACGGACGGGCACCCTGCCTCTTCTAGCTGGACGGACAGGGCACCCTGCCTCTTCTATCTGGATGGACAGGGCACCCTGCCTCTTCTAGCTGGACGGACACCCTGTCTCTTCTAGCTGGACAGACGGGCACCCTGCCCTGTCCTACTGCAGAGGCTCAAGCGCAGCTCACCTCCAGACCTCAACCTGAGGTCCCCACACTGCCCACAGCCAGGAATGGCTGCTCCAGTCCCCACACGCCTGGTCTCGGCCCTCTGGCACTGGACACCTCCACAGTCCTGCTCCAGCCTGGTCCTGGCCTCTGTGCTGCAGCCTGGGGGCGGCCTAGGCCCCTCCTCAAGTGCCCTTACTGTCTGCCCCGCAGCGGTTCCCGACCCTCTCCCCCGCCACAGGCCCACACGCTCCTCCTGAGCTCCCCTAGGAGCTGTATATATACCCGCTGTATATATACCCGCTGTCCCTCCCCCCAGGGCAGGGCGGGCCTTCATCCCGGCCCAGCTGCACCCAGGGCCACGCACCTGCCTGGTTCCCTTGCTTCCTGCGATATAAGGACACTCCACGGGGGCAGCCGCGAACCCGGAGCCCTTCAGTGGCCCGTGTCCTCCACTGTGCCTCACGGCCCTCCCCTCCCTCACCAGCCCCCTTCCGCTCCCCCCGGCGATTCCCTCCAGCTTGGGGTCCCCGGCCTGCAGCCGTGCCAGGTCCGAGTGGCTGAGTTGGGATCCCTTTATTCCTAGGTTGAGGCCCCAGGACCTCCGGCATGACTGCGGAGACAGGGTCTCCACAGGCCTTCACACAAGACAGGGCCTGCGGGAGGCCTTCCTCCAGTGTCCGTGTCTTCCTAAGGGGAGGCCAGGACGCAGACGCACACAGGACACGGGGGAGGCTATCTACACCAAGGCCGGCCTGGGGGACCCAGCCTGGTGGCCCTGGGTCTCAGCCTGCAGCCTGTGAGAGTCCAGCTCTGCCGTCCACAGCCCCAGCCTGTGGGCCGGTGTCCCGCAGCCAGGAGCTGAGCGGGGCTGTGTCTGGAGCCTCCGCCCAGCAGGACTCTAGCAGGGGCGGGTGGACACGAGGACCAGATGTAGCCACACTTGGCAGGGGAGGCACAAACCTGTAGGGCCCAGGGCGTGGCCCCCGGGCAGGCCTGACTGGAGATTGGGGTCTGCATCTAGAAGGGAGAGAGGAGGAACGGGTCTTCACTCGCATGCTCCACACGGCCGCTCCTCCGACCCCATCAGCTCAGGGGCTCAGGCCTGGCTGCTCTGAGCAGCGGTGACCACAGGGGACACTTCTCTGAGTCAGCTCCCAGCTTCGTGGGGTGCGGGGCTGCAGGGCCCACTTCGTGGTCAGTGAGGGAAGGGAGGTGGAGTTGGGGTGAGGAGGCTGGAGCCGCTCTGACTTCCTGACCTGTAGCTTCCAAGGGGAGTCCAGCACCCGGCTGCTCCCCGAGGACCAGGCTCAGCCTGGACCCCACCCTGACAGCGCAGGCTGGGGCTGGGCGGCCCCGAGGTGTGGGTGCCTGGCTCTCAGAAAGGCCACACGGGAGCAGCACCGACTCTGGTGCCCGGTCATCCTCAGGATGGTGGAGGGCTGAGGCAACTTGCTCCAGGTCCCGCAGCTGCCAGGAGGAGGCAGGGCTGGACCCCAATGCCCAAGCTGGCTCTACCTGCTTGGCTGGGCCTGGAGCTCTGACACGCACACTAAGCCCCGTGCACATCCCTGGGGTCAGAGTTCCTGGGTGGTCTCAGAGGCCTGTCGCCCCTGTCCAGGGCCCCCACCCCACCCCCCACATCCTCGGGGCCAGGTGGAAATCCCTGTGTGCCCAGCCATCCCCCAGGACTGCCCTTGCCTCCCAGCCTCCCGCAGCACCTCCCTTCCCATGGCCTTGTCCTGTCCCGGCTTTAAGCCCAGGCCTGGGTCCCTGAAGCTCCTTCCTGGAGGCCCTCCATGTACTTTTGCCTTAGCTCCTTCAGCGGCCCCGGCATGGGGTCAGGCCCCAGCCTCTTCTCAGTGCCCAGGGCAGGGCCCCGGTGAAGGGCGTAGAACGGATCATAGCCCAGTTCAGCCATGGGAGATGAGGCAAAATTCACAATGTAGCTGGGCACCAGTGGCTCACGCCTGTCATCCTAGCTACTCAGGAGGCTGAGATCTGAGTTCAAAGCCAGCCATGAGACTCTGATCTCCAGTGAACCACCAGAAAACAGGAAGTGGCGCTGTGGCTCAAGTGGTAGAGCGCTCGCCTTGAGCTGAAGAACTGAGGGACAGCGCCCAGGCCCAGAGTTCAAGCCCTACAACCAACAAAAAGAAATTCACAATGCCTGGCTGCCTTCTGGCCTCCTGGCTGTGGAAAACACAAGTGGAAAACCTAATAAGACGACATGACGGCGCTGAGATTCCGAGAGGCAGAAGGAGGCTGTCCACGGCGCTGCCCTTCGGTCTCACAGCCTGCTGCGGCTGCCGAGGAGCTCACAGCCCAGAGGCCTCTCACCGAGGCCTGCCTGTCTTACGGTCCCTCTGGTTGGCTGACCTCTTCTCCTCTTTCTGCCTCTCCTCCTGTTTCTCTCCTCTTCCTCTTCCTGCTCCTTCCCCTCCTCTTCCTCATCTTCTTTCTCCTCATCTTCCTCTCACTTCTTTCATCCTTCTCTTCTTCCTTCTCTACAGCTGTCCTGGGGATCCCCCCCGCCCCCGCCCTTCCCCTTCCCCTGAGCCTCTGTCCAGTTAAGGAGAAGCACCTTGTTGGCCAGTGCTGCAGCGCTCGAGACCTGTCCAACCTGCCGTCCAACTGTGGTGGCCTCACACCAGCAGTGGAGGCTGAGGGAGGGTGGTCCCGGGGACCTCCAATGTCACTGCTGCCCCCAGTGCTGACGGCTGTCCCCAGTGCTGACCTCTGCCCCAACACTGATCGCTGTCCCCTGCCCCAACACTGACTGCCGCCCCAGCACTGACCGCTGCCCCCAGCACTGACCGCTGCCCCCAGCACTGACCACTGTCCCCAGCACTGACCACTGTCCCCCAGTGCTGACCGCTGTCCCCAGTGCTGACTTCTGCCCCAACACTGATCGCTGTCCCCAGCACTGACTGCCACCCCAGCACTGACCGCTGCCCCCCAGTACTGACCACTGTCCCCAGCACTGACAGCTACCCCCCAGCACTGACCGCTGCCCCCAGCACTGACAGCTGTCCCCAGCACTGACCGCTGCCCCCAGCACTGACCACTGTCCCCAGCACTGACCGCTGTCTGCAGCACTGACCGCTGCCCCCAGCACTGACCGCTGTCCCCCAGCACTGACCGCTGCCCCCAGCACTGACCGCTGCCCCCAGCACTGACCGCTGTCCCCAGCACTGACCGCTGTCCCAGCACTGACCGCTGCCCCCAGCACTGACCGCTGTCCCCAGCACTGACAGCTGCCCCCAGCACTGACCGCTGTCCCCAGCACTGACCGCTGCCCCCAGCACTGACCGCTGTCCGCAGCACTGACCGCTGTCCCCAGCACTGACCGCTGCCCCCAGCACTGACCACTGCCCACCAGCACTGACTGCCGCCCCAGCACTGAACACTTCCCCCAGCACTGACCGCTGTCCGCAGCACTGACCGCTGCCCCCCAGCACTGACCGCTGCCCCCAGCACTGACCGCTGTCCCCAGCACTGACCGCTGCCCCCCAGCACTGACCGCTGCCCCCAGCACTGACCGCTGTCCCCAGTACTGACCGCTGCCCCCAGCACTGACCATTGCTCCAGCACTGACCGCTGCCCCCAGCACTGACCGCTGTCCCCAGCACTGACCGCTGCCCCCACACTGACAGGTGTTATACCCGCTGAGTGGATGAGGCTGAGGGGCCTGTGCGCGAGCCCCCTGGGTACTTTGTGTGAGACCCACATCATTGCTCCCCCACCCCTGCTCACACCCTCCGCCCTCCCCTGCCTGGCGTTTCTGCCATGGGCGGCGGCAGCCGGCAGCCCCTCTGCGTGCCGTGACAGCCGCGGGGCGGGCACGGTGAAGGGAAGGAGCACCCACCTTGCTTTTGTCTTCAGTCCTGGCTGCCTGCCGGCAGGCCGGGTGCCAGATGGAGGAACCTGTGGACACATCCAGGAGGAAGGGCTTAGAGCTGTGTTCCCACCCTTTGGGCCTGTGTGCAAAGCCAGAGGAAGGAGCTGCGGGCCCAGGGTGCACGCCGGGCCCTTCCTGGGGCAGACAGAGGGGGCTGCCTGGAGCCCCTGCCAGGGCGGACGGAGGGATCTTCAGAGGGCTTTGGGCTCATGGTAGCTATGAAGAAGGGCCGTGGGGCAGGCATCAGCTGCTGTGCGGAGGGCAGCCATGGCCCAACTATGGGGACACTGGGGCAACAGCCAGGGTGGCCCTGCCTCAGGAGGAGGGCTGCGGTGTCCGGCCTCTCGGCTGGGCACTGGTCTAGTCCACAGCGTGTGAAGCGGAAGCGGGCGTGAGGCTGCAGCACTGGGCCGACCCTGTCCCCAACCTGCTCAGCACTGGAGGCTTCCTGTGCCTCGCCTTCCTCCCCCATCAGCACTGCCCCACCATCACAGCCACCATCCACAGCAGGACCACCAGGCTCCGAGTGCCCACGTCCTGGGTGTCTGCCGTTTCCTAACTCAGCCCCCACCCACTCCAAGTCCCCGGATCTCTCCCCAAAACCAAGGGCATGAAGGCATTCTGTGAGCGGTGTGCACATGATGTAGGCACGATGTCCCTACTTTCTGTGTGTGTGCAGGGCGGGGTTGGGGCAGGCCAACCCCAGCACCTACACCCCTACCCCTACTGCCCCTGCCCCTCCCCTCCACCACAGAGCAGGGCACCTGGGAGGGGCCTCTCCTCACTGCCTGCTCAGGGATGTGTGTGTGCACACATGCGTGTGTACCTTGTGTGCATACCTGTGCCGGTATGCATGCATGTGTGTGTCTGTGTGTATACCAGTGCCTTGTGTGCATGCATGCATGTGTGTGTGCATACCTGTGTCTGTGTATGCATGTATGCATGTGTGTCTGTGAGTACACACCTGTGCCTGCATGTGCATGCATGCGTGTCTGTGTGTGCATACCTGTGCCTGTGTGTGCATGCGTGTGTGTGTCTGTGTGTGCATGCATGTGTGTGCCTGTGTGTGCATGCATGTGCCTGTGTGTGCATGCATGTGTGTGTCTGTGTGTGCATACCTGTGCCTGTGTGTGCATGCATGTGTGTGTCTGTGTGTGCATACCTGTGCCTGTGTGTGCATGCATGTATGTGTGTCTGTGAGTGCATACCTGTGCCTGTGTGTGCCTGTGTGTGGGCAACATGGTTATGGTTTCTAAATTTTTTATGATTATAAAGATAATAGATCTGTTCCTTAACTAGAAGTTACAGTGGCCTAAAAGAAAAAGTACAAATAAGAAAGCTGCCGCTGCTGGGCGCTGGTGGCTCACGCCTGTCATCCTAGTTACTAAGGAGGCTGAGATCTGAGGATTGTGGTTCAAAGCCAGCCCGGGCAGGAAAGTCCATGAGACTCTTCTCTCCAATGAACTGCCAGAAAACCAGAAGTGGTGCTGTGTGCCTTGAGCTGAAGAGCGCAGGGACAGAACCCAGGCCCAGAGTTCAAGCCCCACAACTGACAAAAGAAAAAAGAAAAAGAAAAGCAAGCTGCAGCCATCTGCCACCTGTCACAGGACGGTGCACGGGTGACGTCACCCTGCAGCTTCGGGTGACAAGAGTCTCGAGTCCCCCTTAGTGTGACATCACAGGATGTCACTCGGAGGTCTGCACACAGCCCACCATGTGGCGGACCCCCCCCCCCAGGTCCAGGTTTATTTCCAAGCCTCCCCTCAGGATCCCCTTCAGTGGACACATGGCCTCCGGACCCCAATATGAGGACACCTCCGGGGCCTGTGGGGCAGCCCCCAATGTCTGCCCTCACCCGTCAACAAGAGGCCTGTTCCTGCAACTCTCCCTGCACCTCCTCCCCTCCCGTCACCCCAAGAGGAAGGGGGCATCTGGTCATGTTCTGGCCAGGGAGCTGGCCTCCCTGGGTTCATCAGCAGAGGCTCTGTGGAAAAGGTTGATGGAGCCCACGGGGGACATGCCACGGGGGGGACCCCGAGCCCCTGCCGGCCAGAGCTCTGATGGCAGTGGAGGTACCTGCAAAGACGTCCTCACGGGGCTTGGCACCCAGGGAGCGCAGGCGCGGGCCTCAGGGCGGTCCGGCAAGGCGGGCCCACAGAGGCCCCGGCTCCAGGGCTCCCCGGCGCAGCTCAGGCCCCAGCAATCAGGCCCCGCCTCAATGTACGGCGTGGAAACCCCGGGTCTGAGAGGGGCAGGCCTGGCTCTGCACCAGGCAGCCCTGCAGGGCCCCGCATCCTCGGGGTGCCGCCAGAGACGGGGGCTGGGGATGAAGAACATCTTTGTCCCCAGGACAAGGTCGCCCCTGATGCCGGCCGACGTCTCCCAGCTCCCATGCTCCCTGCCATGGTGCCTGGTGTTGACTGGCCTCATTCACAGGGGCCGGCGGCGCGGTGGGCCAGGCCCACGGATCCCCTCCGCGGACAGCTGGCGGCGGCGGGGGAATGAGGCCGTCCTCTGAGATCACCCTCCAGGCGGACGACTCACCCCGGGACACCCTGCCTGTGGACGCCACGCCGCAGGCCTCACCGCGGGGAGCTCCCCCTCCACAGCCCAGCCCAGCCCGCCAGCCACCTGCAGACTCCAGGAGTCAAAATCGCTCAAAGGAAGCTGCAGCTGACCAGGGGCAGTGTCAACGTGACCCCCTCCTGGCCTGGCCCCCTGGCCCACAGCCCACCCATCGCCGGTCCTGAGCTGTTGCTCAGAGTCACCTGCTCAGAGAGCAGGCCGAGCCCCACCTCAGCCGCCTCTGCCAGCGCAGCTCTTCCTGCCAGCCCGGCCCGCCCCCCACTCCCACAGCTCCCCCCCTCAGGGGACAGGAAACTCCGCACCTCCTCCTCTGTCCCTCCTCCCCTGGCCAGTCCAGGCAAGGTACGACCCCACCATGACAATAACCAACACAACCACAGGCTGGAGGCCCAGCTCGAGTGGCAGAGCACCTGCCTAACAAGCGCGAGGCCCTTGGCTCAATCCCTCGCATCACAAAAATTTAAAAAAAGGTAAAAGTTCCCATTTCCTGTGCTTTTTGCCGTCTGTCAACACATCTAGTCAACCTCCCACTGGCAGAACCTTTTAGGTCTGAGGTGGGGATGTGAACTTGGTACCTGCTGCTTCCACTCACTGGCAGGCGCTCTCCCAGTGAGCCACGTCTCCACCCCCTCGATCTGCATCCTTGTTACTGTTCACGATGGGGGTTCCCATGAAACCAGCTTTCATCAGAAAGCAGAGCTCCCCCTTACTGCTGCCTGGCTGTGGTGCACGCACCCTCGTCCATGCCACAGGACAGCACTGAGTGAGAAACAGCTCTGAATATGAGCCCCCTGGGAGGGGCGCCCCGGCCAAGGCAGCGAGGGACACCTCACAGTCTTCCTGTGAGCTCTGCCGGCACGCCTGGGGCCTTACCCATCCCGTTGGTCATCTCAGGCTGCCCGCCACTCTTGGAGAGAGACTCGGCCTTGGCCAGGTGGCCCCAGTGGTCCCTCCCCCACCCCGCCCGCCCCACAGCCCCCAGGCAGCGGCACCTGGCCAAGGTCACGCCCAGCACGTGGTGTGGACCGGCTGCGGCGGTGGCGGCCTTTACCTTGCAGGTACATCTCCTCGCCTTCCGCAAACATCTGGCCGCACCTGACGCATAGCGCACAGGAAGGGTGGTAGTGCTTCTCCCCGGCCTGCAAGGAAGCAGAGCAGAGGGCTCACGGCTGCACGCAGGGGCCCGGCCTGCCGGGGGCTGTCACCTGAGTGCAGGCTTGGGGACCTGGCAGAGGCCCAGCAACCCCCAGAACGGAAGGTTCTGTGGGCTGGTGAGCACCCCCAGGCCTCCCGGAACCCTGTAGAAAGGCAGGTGAGCCCAGCTGTGCCGGCCCATCATCCGGTCTAGATATGCAGCTGGCCCATCGTGGCTGTGGACAGGTCAGCAGGCAGGGAGGGCCTCAGCCTTCCCCTGGGGGAGGAGGAGGGGCAGGCAGTGAGGAGGGGAGAGGAGGAGGAGGGAGAATCTTACAGGAGAGTCTCCCCATGTAGAGAGACCAGAGGGATGGCATTTTTTTTTAAAGTGACTTTTCTTTTTGTATCTCTTTGACCTTTGCTTAGTTCAGGGAGTATTTTCCATCTTAGAAATCCCTTTTTAATTTCTTGGTGGTAGTCATACCAGCTCCCTGGGAGGGGTGAGGTGGGGAGGGGGCTGTGGCTAACGATGGAGGTGCAGGACCAGAGTTTCTCTCCTTCCTAAAATGGGCAGAAGTGTGGCACTTGCTCCCTGCATCTGAGCGATAACGGGTGTGCCCCGCCCCGGAAGCGGGGACACCTTCACAGCCCCCTCGCCTCTCACCTCTCTCTGGCCCCTGTCAGCACGGAGCCAGAGATGCTCCATACGCAGGGGTTGAACCCACTGATCAATGGGGCCCGCTCACAGCTTGGGCATAGGGGTTCCTGGGGGGTGAGTGGAGGCCTGAGCCCCGTTGGCCGGGGACCCAGACACCCGCTCCTTCACCGTCTGCCCTCCCTCTCCCAGCCACGCCCTGAGTGGTCTCCTCTCGTCCCAGAGCCACCTCCTCCTGGGAGCCGCCCCTGATTCCACCGTAACTGGGCCTCTCTGGCTTGTCTCTAACGCTTTAACAACCATCTGGGTTTGTGAGGACAGTGAGCCTTGCCCTCGCGCCTGCCCCCAGTCCTGATGCTCCGGACAGACAAGACGGAGAATTCAGGGAGACTCACTCCCTATTAAGCAAACGGAGCCAGGCGCAAAGCAGGAGGATGGATTGGCCAGGGTTGGGTGAGGACTCGACGTGGCTGGACGGGTGGGCACTGTCTGGGGGGCCTTGAGGGGCATCCAGGGGCTGAGGGAGTCTTCTATCCTGATCTGGTACGACTACACAGGTGTGTCCAGTTTGTGAAAACTTACCACAGTGCCTGTGAGTGATTCTCACCCTCCTGTGAGTGCTAAATACCAGAGAATTTCCCAATAAAAGAGATCAAGGACCTGTGAGAAATGAAATGGTGGACCTCTTCGAAAAAGACCTAAAACTGAATGGGCACAAGTCCAGATTTGATGGATATAAAAACACAACAACAGAACACAAAGCCGGGCACCAGTGGCTCACGCCTGTAATCCTAGCTACTCGGAAGGCTAAGACCTGATGATCATACTATGAAGCCAACCCCGGGCAGGAACGTCCCTGAGACTCTTATCTCCAATAAGCTATTCAGAAAAAGCTTGAAGTGGCCCTGTGGCTCAACTAGGGGGGGGGGGGGGGAGAGAGAGAGAGAGAGACAGAGAGAGAGAGAGAGAGAGGGAGGGAGACATAAACTGCACAAACTTCAACAAAATTATACTCTAATCATCAAAGGAAACAGTACAGTGAAAATAAAACCAAAGCATGGTAGAAAACAGAAAAGAATCACATATTTGATAAGGATGTGGCATCCAGAATAAAAAGACGATCATCTTGGCCCAATTAGGAGTTGGGCAAAAGATATAACTGGACCGTTTCCAAGAAAGACGGCGGTGCAGGAAAAGATGTCTTCATGAAATGCGAATCCACCCTCAGCAGGCCAGCCCTGACAACCACAGCAGAAAGGGAACTCAGCACCGGACAGCCCAGGGGGCAGGCCCGCCGCCCAGGACACCGGTGGGGCACTGGGCACACGGCCTGCCAGCCCCTCAGAGTCACACACAGAACCAACTACCACCAGCAAGGCACTCCTCCACGTTTAAGAGAAATGGAGAAGAAACAAACTGTCCACACAGAAACCCACACACGAACGGCCGCCGCAGGGTGACACCCTCCGATAAAAGAGGCAACAAGTAAGGGCCCACCTGGACACATCACCCCACGCAGTGGCGTGACCTTCAGAATGTGGGGGAGTCTCACCCCGAGACCTCAAAAGGGGAGAAAATGTCCAGAATGGGTGCATGCTCAAAGGATGCGGGTGTGGGGGGACGGAGGGAGCGATCAGCTGTGGGGTGGTGGGTAGGTTTGGAGGTAATTTGAAGACAGAGCATCAGACAGTGGGTGGCCCACAAGCCCCAGAACTCTACCCTGCATTTTGTTTTGCTAGCCCTGGGTTTTGAACTCAGGTCTTCATGCTTGCCAGGTAAGCACTCTGCTACTGGAGCCCTACCTCTAGCCCAAATTGCACATTTTACACCATTGGCCCTACGCTCTGAGAGTTCAAACCTGCGGTGTGAGGAGCAGGGCTGGCCCCCGGCCACACTCAGAAGCTGCTCCTACTCGGGCTGGGATGGACAACTGGGCTCTATGACACTTGGGGTCAGGGACTGTCCCCCCGTCCTACCCGCAGTCTCTGCTGGGGACAGGGCAAGTTCAGAGCCAGGGAAGAGAGACAAGGTCCAACCCAGGGTCCTCACTGCTGGAGACACGACCCTGGGAACCACATCTGTCACACAGAAGAGGCTGCCGCCCCAGTGCTCCCGGGAAAGGCCTAACCCACAAGCCGAATACCTGTGCCGTCACCCCAGCTCCCACAGACAGAGGGCCCAGGGCTCGGGACGGCAGGGATCAGAAAAGCACTTCGAAAGCACTTTGCAGGGCCTGGCTCAGCTCAGTGTGGAAAAGTGACTGTCACCTTCCAAGGCGGGAGGGCTGAGTGCAGCCCTGGCCCCCAGCAGCCCCCATGCCCTGGCCGGGGTGCCCCCACCCCAGAGGGCAGAGCCGGGCCTGCAGACTGCCATCGGCAGCTCCGGTGGGCATGCACTCCCAGCCTGACCATTCGCGGGTCAGGGCCGGGGATGCTCTCCGAGCTTTCGGCCTGAATTCAGGTCGCGTGTAAGTCCTAATCACCACGGTGCACAGAGAAAATGAAATGTGCTGAGAGGAGCCAAGCCCCTGAGCAAGGGTCACGCCACCCAGCGTGTGGCTCCCCAGGCTCTCCTTCCTGACACCCTGCAGGGAGCCACCTGTACCCCAAAAAGGAGCTCCACTTCCTCATGCCCACAAAGCCCCGCCTCCATTGTCCTGTGTCCCTCCCCGGCTGACCCTCTGTGGCTCTTCTCCAGGAGCATGCCCAGCCTGCCCCGCCGGTCACACCCCTCCCCCCCCCCATCCTCAACTCCATCTAGAAACTCAGATACACAAAGCGGCCACTGTCCGCCCTTTCTCCACAACCCCAGTGGTGCCCTAGCCAGAGAGGTGGCCATTAAAGGTGCTCTAAGATGAGTGACATGGACTGTGAGTCACCCAGAGAGCTCTGGAGGTCGCATGTGTGTGCACCTGTGTAGTACGTGTGCCTGTGTGCACGCCTGTGTATGTGCACCCATGCATGTATGCGTGCCTGTGTGTGCACCCATTTATGCATGTGTGTCTGTGTATGTGCACCCATGCATGTATGCGTGCCTGTGTGCACCTGTGTATGTGCACCCACGCATGTATGTGTGACTGTGTACACATCTATGTATGTGCACCATGCATGCATGCATGCCTGTGTGTGCACCCATGCATGTATGTGTGCCTGTGTGCACGCCCATGTATGTGCGTGTATGTGCACTCATGCATGTATGCATGCCTATGTGTACCATGTATGTATGTGTGCCTGTATGCACCTGTGTATGTGCACCCATGCATGTATGTGTGCCTGTGTGTACCCATGTATGCATGTGTGCCTGTGTGCACCTGTGTATGTGCACCCATGCATGTATGTGTGCCTGTGTGTACCCATGTATATATGCGTGCCTGTGTGCATGCCCATGTATGTGCACCCATGCATGTATGTGTGCCTGTGTGTACCCATGTATATATGCGTGCCTGTGTGCACGTCCGTGTACATGCACCCATGCATGTATGTGTGCCTGTGTGCACCTGTGTATGTGCACCCATGCATGTATGTGTGCCTGTGTGCACCTGTGTATGTGTAACCATGCATGTATGTGTGCCTGTGTGCACGCCCGTGTATGTGCACCCATGCATGTATGTGTGCCTGTGTGTACCCATGTATATATGCATGCCTGTGTGCACGCCCATGTATGTGCACCCATGCCTGTGTGCGTGCCCGTGTATGTGTACCCATGCATGTATGTGTGCCTGCGTGTACCCGTGTATGTGCACCATGTATGTATGTGTGCCTGTGTGTACGCATGTATGTATGCATGCCTGTGTGTGTACCCATGCATGTATGTGTGCCTGTGTGCACGCCCGTGTATGTGCACCATGCATGTTTGTATGCCCGTGCATGTGTACCATACATGTATGTATGCCTGTGTATGTGCACTCATGCATGTATGTGTGCCTGTGTATGTGCATCCATGCATGTATGTGTGCCTGTGTGTACGCATGTATGTATGCATGCCTGTGTGTGTACCCGTGTATGTGCACTCATGCATGTGTGTGTACCTGTGTATGTATGTGTCTGTGTGCACCTGTGTATGTGCACCCATGCATGTATGTGTGTCTGTGTGTATGCATGTATGTATGTGTGCCTGTGTGTGTACCCATGCATGTATGTGTGCCTGTGTGCACGCCCGTGTATGTGCACCATGCATGTTTGTATGCCCGTGCATGTGTACCATACATGTATGTATGCCTGTGTATGTGCACTCATGCATGTATGTGTGCCTGTGTATGTGCATCCATGCATGTATGTGTGCCTGTGTGTACGCATGTATGTATGCATGCCTGTGTGTGTACCCGTGTATGTGCACTCATGCATGTGTGTGTACCTGTGTATGTATGTGTCTGTGTGTACCCGTGTATGTGCACTCATGCATGTATGTGTGCCTGTGTATGTGCACCCATGCATGTTTGTGTACCTGTGTGTGCACCTGTGTATATGTGTTTGTGTGTGCAGCCTATGTGTATATGCACCTGTGTGTGACCTACATGTGTGCAAAGTTGATGAGGATCATTTCTATGTGCTAAGTGTAAAAGCCTGACCAGTGGCCTCTGTTACGTGTGACTTCGCTTATTCTGATAAGCAAGTAGTCCTGAGTGTGTTTTAAATAAATACATTTATTTTGAGAGAGAGAGAGAGGCAGCTTGTGAAGTTGACTTCTCTGTCCTCGGGAAATGAGTGAATCTGTTTGGAAGCAGGCTATTTTCTGCCAAGGATAAAGGTGCGCGTGGTTAAGGGGGGGAGCGCAGTGCTCCTAGGAAGGTGGGAGGGAGTAAACAAACCCTGTCCTCACAGGAGGTGAGTGCCTCCAGCAGTCCAGCGAGGGTCCTGCGGCGAGCAGGTTAAGAAGGAAAGTGAGCATGGACCAAGGGAAGAAGCAAGCAAGGAAGGAATTAGGTCCCCAGGGGATGCTGGACTTCTTGCTGCCATGGAGACGGCCCATGCCGGGCGAAGGAGGCCCCGACCTCAGCACGACCAGGGTAAACAGCCGGCAGAGCTGGTAAAGATCTCCACCCACCCCCACGCGCGTCCACCCTCGTCTCCGGGAGGCTTTCCAGACACTGCCGAGAGGAGAGCGGGCAGTCAGGCGCAGGGCCCCTGCAGGGTGAGCATGGCTGCCCTGGCCTTCCGCGCCTGTCCCCGCCCGGCTCCCGCAGCTGCGGAGGCAGCAGAGATGCGTGTGTTCATCAGCAGGCTACAGCTCTCTGCGCAGCAGCAACTCCAATCCACCCAGAGCCAGCTCTGCCGCCCGCAGCCAGCCCCCTCCCTCCCACCGTCCAGCCCAGCCCACCTGGAGCGCACCCACAGAGTGGGCTCCTCATGGAGGGAGGGGGGCTCAAGGAACAGCAGACAGCTGAGGGGTGAGCGAGAAGGGGGGTCCTTCCTGGGGGAGCCCTCCCTCCCCAAGCACGCACATGTCACAGACGGGCGCTGCTGCTGGCACCCAGTGCCCACGGTGGCACTGTGCCTGCCCCACAGGCTGGCGCAGATGGGCGCCCGGGGAACATTCCCACCCAGGCACCAGAGACATCCAGGGGCTGTCGGGGACAGAGGGAGAACGTAGGGTCCTCACGGCCAGGGCCTGTCCCACTGCCTGTGGAAAGCCCCGCAGCCTCTCCAGGCTTCCTACCTGCACGGTGCCCGGGCCGGGCCCACTCCAGTCGCCGGGTGGCGGCCCCCTCCGGCGTGTGAGCCTGGAGTGTGGGCCCAGGAGGATGCCCTGGCCCTCGGCCAGGGCCCAGACTGTGTTTTTCCCCTTTCAAATCTGCCACTTGCTCCTGCTGCTCCCCCAGCCGGCGGCCCGCAGCTGGAGGGCGGCTTCCTCCTGCGCAGCCAGCTCCTCCCCGCCTCGCCTCGCCTTGCCTCGCCTCGCCTCGAGGAGGAGGTTCAGCTCTGCAGCGCCCGCAGCACGACTCAGCTCAGGGCCGCCACCGCAGCACACTTGGCTGCTGGCAGAGGCAAAAACAAACGCTGGGAGCTTCCCACCAGGGCCCTTCACCCCCCACCGCACACCGCAGGGAAAACCCAGGCTGCTCAGCTTCCTGCAGCCCAAGCGTTCCTGGCCAAAGACCCCGGGGTGCACCCGAGGGGCTGCGCCCGACACCGGACCCCCATTCGGCATTTGCCGGGGACTGCGGCCATGGGGTACCCTTGCCTCTGTAACCCACCCAAGGGCTTGATGCTGGCCCCACACGGGGGCCCCTCCCACGTGCCCAGGGCCACTCTGGGCAGGGCCGGGGTGTCAGGAATGCAGTTAGACCCCTGCACGCAGGAGCACGCGTGCAGCCGCCCGTGCCCCATGCCACCGTGCCCGGCCCTGACATCACAATGTTGAGGTCAGGTTCAGTCAACATGCAAGCCTACAGCTCTTCCTGGCAGAGGCTGGGCTGCTGGGGTCTGCTAGGGGTCAAGGCCGGGTGTGCCTGCTGCTTACACGTGCACACACATGCGTGTGCACACACACACACATGGGTATGGCTCACCACACACAGGGAGATCCCGTTCATCATGGAGCTTTACAGACACCTTCTCAGAGCAGCAACTTCTCAAGGGGCAGCTGGCTGCATCACAGCTGTGCATGAGAGAAGGTGTGGGGTGGGGAGATGGAGGAGGAAAGGCAGGTGGGGACCGGCAGAGCCTTGTCAGTAAGGGGAGGCCTGTCAGAAGAAGGCGAAGGCCGGCGGGGTGCGCCAAGGCGGGGACAGGGCTCAGGTGCAGGCCGGGCTGTGGAGCCGGACGGGGCAGGTGCAGGCCGGGCTGTGGAGCGGGACGGGGCAGGTGCAGGCCGGGCTGTGGAGCCGGACGGGGCAGGTGCAGGCCGGGCTGTGGAGCGGGACGGGGCAGGGGCAGGCCGGGCTGTGGAGCCGGACGGGGCAGGGGCAGGCCGGGCTGTGGAGCGGGACGGGGCAGGGGCAGGCCGGGCTGTGGAGTGGGACGGCTTAGGTGCAGGCCGGGCTGTGGAGCGGGACAGGGCTCAGGTGCAGGCCGGGCTGTGGAGCGGGACGGGGCAGGTGCAGGCCGGGCTGTGGAGCGGGATGGGGCAGGGGCAGGCCGGGCTGTGGAGCGGGACGGGGCAGGTGCAGGCCGGGCTGTGGAGCCGGACGGGGCAGCTGCAGGCCGGGCTGTGGGGCGGGATGGGGCTCAGGTGCAGGCCGGGCTGTGGAGCGGGACGGGGCAGGTGCAGGCCGGGCTGTGGAGCGGGACAGGGCTCAGGTGCAGGCCGGGCTGTGAAGCCGGACAGGGCAGGTGCAGGCCCGGCTGTGGAGCGGGACGGGGCAGGTGCAGGCCGGGCTGTGGAGCCGGACGGGGCAGGTTGTCTGTCCACATCCATCACCACTTAGGAAAATACAGATAGGACATGTGGCAGAGGGAATATCTCAATCTTCCCACGTGACCCCAGAGAACCCAGTGCATTAGCAGACACAGTGGACAGAAGGTGGAGGAGCAGAGGAAAGGCACAGCAACCAAGAGCCTGAGCTGTCGTCAGCAAGTCTGCAGAGCCATGGTGGACAGTTGTATTCTGCAAGTCAGGAGACCCCATCTGGACAGTGGCTTACAACAGCCAGACCTACCGGGGGGGGGGGGGGGGACACACACATCATGACGTGAAGAAGTGACCGTCACGGTGTCTTCACACGGTGAAGATCTGCCGTGCCGGGGCGGGCAGCTCACACCCGGAGTCCTAGCTGCTCAGGAGGCTGAGATGGTCGAGATGGAAGCTCAAGGCCAGCCTGGGCAGAAATGTTCCAGAAGGCCCTACCTGATGAGGAAGTGGAATCAGGAATATCTCCTAACCCAGCCACCAGGAAACCTAAGGCCAATGGATTGTTCCAAGCAGGAAGCAAGACCAAAGCTCAAAAATCAGCAAAAATCAGGGCTGGAGACCAAGCCCAGAAGGGAGAGCCTCTGCAGCAACTGTAAGGATGGCCGGGCAAACCCAGGATCACCACAAGGAAAGACCTGGAAAGGCTGTGACCAGCCATAAGTGACTGTTCTAGAAAATTCCATTATGGCCAGATGATGAAGCCCAAGGCCATGTTAAAATTGTGCTGGTGAGCTGGGCACCGAAGGTTCATGCCTTCACCTCTAGCTACTCAGGAAGCTAAGATGAGAGGGTCAAGGTTCAAAGGCCACACGGGTTAGAAAGTCTGTGAGAGTCTTCTCCCCAACTAACAAGCAAAAAGCTAGAAGTGTGGCTGTGGTTCAAGTGGTAGAGTGCCAACCTTGAGTGAAAAAGCTAAGAGACAGGGCCCAGGCCCTGAGTTCAAAGCCCAGTACCCAGATAGGGGGTCAGGAGAGAAGAAAGGAAGAAAGAAAAAACAGCATTTGGAGGACTCAGTACTTAAAGAGGATCTAGCACTCAGAGGACCCAGCACTCAGGGAACCCAGCACTCAGGGACCTAGCACTCAGGGACCTAGTACTCGGGGGGGGTCCCAGTACTCAGGAGGACTCAGCACTTAGGAAGGCTCAGCACTCAGGAGGACTCAGCACTTGGAAGACCCAGTACTCAGGAGGACTCAGCACTCAGGGGACCCAGTACTCAGGAGGACTCAGCACTCAGGGGACCCAGTATTCAGGGGACCCAGTACTCAGGAGGACTCAGCACTAAGGAGGACCCAGTGCTCAGGAGGACTCAGCACTCAGGGGACCCAGTGCTCAGGAGGACCCAGTACTCAGGAGGACCCAGCACTCAGGAGACCCAGTGCTCAGGAGGACCCAGCGCTCAGGAGGACCCAGCACTCAGGAGACCCAGTACTCAGGAGGACTCAGTACTCAGGAGGACTCAGAACTCAGGAGGACCCAGCACTCAGGGGACCCAGTACTCAGGAGGACCCAGTACTCAGGAGGATTCAGAACTCAGGAGGACCCAGTGCTCAGCAGGACTCAGCACTCTCGACCCAGTGCTCAGGAGGACCCACCACCCAGAGGACCCAGTACTCAGGAGGACCCAGCACTCAAGAGACCCAGTACTCAGGAGGACCCAGTACTCAGGAGGACCCAGCACTCAGGAAGACCCAGCACTCAGTGGACCCAGCACTCAGGGGACCCAGTACTCAGGAGGACCCAGTACTCAGGAGGACTCAGCACTCAGGAGGACCCAGTGCTCAGGAGGACCCAGCACTCAGGGGACCCAGTACTCAGGAGGACCCAGCACTCAGGGCCCAGCTCTCGGAGGACCCTGCCTGAGGCCCCTGGGTCCAGCCTGGCCGCTTACCTCCAGTGTGCGCCCGGTGATGTACTGCTCACAGCCGTCACAGCGGATGCCGAACTCAGAGTGGTAGTCGGCCTCACAGTAGGGCAGCCCATCTCTGCAAGGAGACAGGTGGTCAGGCGGGGCGGGGTCTCCCTGAGGTCATGGCGTGGGACCCCCCCAGATGCACAGGGCTTGCAGACAGGCCTGCGGTCATTGTGGGGGTGTGCAGGCTCCTCCTACTCCAAGGACCTCTCCCCCCACTTTGCATAGGTAGAGTTCACCGGGGGAATTACAAAGAGCACCTGTGTTCCAGAGGGAGACGCTGAGGCACAGGGCTCAGAGGGTGGTGAGGGCAGGGGCGACTGGGGGCTGAGCCAGCCACAGGGAGGCGCAAGCCAGGGGGTGTTCACGGACACCATCTTGGGACAGGCCCAGGGTAACAGGAAGGCAAGGGGAGGGGCCAGGGCTGAGGAGGCCACATTTGGCGCCCAGGCTGGTCCTGCAGGGAGGGGCGGTCAGGCGCGGGCACCGCCAGCGGGAGGGGCAGGCAGTGGCGGGAGCCCCTCACTCCGGGTGGGGACAGCACAGCTGGGGTCTCACAGCGGCAGCTGCGCAGGGGCAGGCGGCGGGGGAGGGAGGCGCCAAGCTCACCCAGCTCGGGTGGCCATGCTCCTGCTGGGCTCAGGTGCTGGGCCCCACTGGGGGCCCCCCCCGGAGGGCGGCTTAACCTCCCTGAGCCTCTGTTTCCCCCCCTCAAACAGGAGGAGTGAGGACCACAGGAGAGGAGGTGTAGCCCAGACGCAGGCTCCCCAGCCAGAAGGCAAAGGGGCCAAGAGAGAAGACACTGGCAGGGTCCTCAAGACCCACTTCCACACCGCCAACCTCAGGCCCCGGCCCCGTTCCCCACACAAACCCACCCACAAGGCGTGCAGATAACGTCTCCACGGCAACGCCAGCACGCCCTCCCCCTCAATTCTGGGATGGCTGTGGAGGCTGCTAAGTAACAGGCAGAGCCCCCAACGCCCCCGGGGCCTCGTGGGCGCCCGAGCTGCCACTCTGTGCTGGGCCTCGTGGGTGCCCGAGCTGCCACTCTGTGCTGGGCCTCGTGGGTGCCCGAGCTGCCACTCTGTGCTGGGCCTCGTGGGTGCCCGGCTGCCACTCTGTGCTGGGCCTCGTGGGTGCCCGAGCTGCCACTCTGTGCTGGGCCTCGTCCGCCGGTCGCCCCCCGCCTGCCGGGCTGCGATGATGGAGGCCGGGCTGCGATGATGGAGGCCGGGCTGTCAGAGGGTGTCTTGGCGTGAGGATGTCTTGTTTTGAAGGCAGTGCAGACAGCACAGGTTCCTGTGTCCCTCACCTGGTCTCTCGGGTGCATCCCAAGGGCGCAAGGCCAGGTGCACGTGGACAGGGTCACACGCTGGGGCCCTGCTGAGATTGTATGTCTACACTTTGTGTGCACAGATGTGTGTGCACATGTGCATGTGTGCACAAGCACACAGTGTTCGTGTGTGCTCTGTTCTTCACAGTTCCTGTTGATCTCCCTCAGGGGAGAAGGTCTCCCTCGCTGAGGCCTGCCATCTTCCTCCAGCTGCCGTAGGGCTGCCCCCGAGGAAGGCAGGTGTCTGCTCCAGTCGCTCTCCCAGCTTCTCCATTAGCTCACCTCGCCCTCTGTGTGCTGGGCTGCCTGCCTAGGTTCCTGGGCCTAGGGTTAACACTCCCCCAGATCCCGGCATGTGCTGGCTTTCATCCAGCTCAAAGCCACGATCACCACACGAGGCTCCTCTGTGGCCTCTGATAAAATCACGTTCTCCCTCCCAGACCTGCTGCCCGGCTCAACCACACATTCGAGGAGCACCATGCCAGCGGGGGGGGGGGGTAGTCCTCTGTGAGCCGCAGCGTCCCCTCCCCGAGCCCCGGCACGGCTCGCCTCCCTGCCATGTCCCTGTGGCTGGTATCTGAGGAGCGCTTGGCTCTCTGCGGGACTCCCAGTGCTAGAATGCCCAGACACCGGGCAGGGGGAGCTGACGGCCAGGATGGAGAGCAGAGGGTCAGACACGGGCAGAGCTGAAAGCCTGGCTCCTTCGCTCCTAGCCAACATCAGGCACTAGACGCGGAACCACGCCATGTGGGCCTGGCGGAGAGGAAGATGCGGGCTGTCGGACAAGCCCACAGGTCCTGCCCCGTCTCCTCCCCAAACAGCAGAACCGGACCAGTTGCCCAGGAGTGGAAGCCACGTGGAGGTGGCACCTGGCACCCGCTCCTCCGTCGCCCCAGGCTGGCGCACGGCGCGAGGCCCCCGGCTGCACTTACTTGCTGATGTACTCGGCATTCAGGAGCTTGCCACAGGTCTTGCACTTAAAACAGCCCAAGTGCCAGTGCTTGTCCAAGGCCACCAGGGCCTGGCCATTGGTGATCTCTAAGCCGCAGCCCCCACAGCCTGAGGAGAGAGCACAGGGCGGCATGTCCTCTCTGAGAGCCAGGGGAGGCCCTGGGGCTGCACGCGGGCCCCAGAGGCCCCATCAAGGGCAGCTGGGAGCCTGTGCCCAGGAGGTGGGCCTGTCCTGGCTGCTGCAGGGCCCGTGACCCGGGCTGAGTGGCCGCCATGGTGAGGCTGGTCTCCTCGTGTGTGAAGCGCGCAGCCTGGCCTGGGCGTGGGCGCGCAGAGGTGAAGACCCAGGAGCCCCACTTTCCAGAGGTGAACAGTCTCTCCCAAGGGGGCGCTGGGGCTGGTCTGAGGGGGGCGGTGGTGGGTCCCCTGAGAACAGCTGGTCAGGGCCACCCACCTGTCCTGGGCTGAGCCCGGTTCCCCTGTCACTGACGAAGGGGAACCACGCAGCCCGGGGAGGTCGGCGCCCCTCCTCACCCCTCACCCCTGCTCCTTCTCCATCCACGGTCCAGCCTGCCCGGCACCCACTCCCTCGAGCCCACAGCTCCTCCAAGGCCCTCACGCAAGACTGTCCCTTCAAGGGGCCCAGTCAGGTCTTGGGGCTCCCTCCCTCTGCACCCAAGTCTGGCCAGCCCCATCTTCTCTCATCATGGCTCTTCCTCCGGCTGCCCACCGCCTGCTCTGGCCTCGCCAGCCTCCCGTGATCTCTCCCCTCTCAGCCGTGCCCGAACCGCTCCCCGGGTCCTACCCACAATCCCCCACAGCGAGCTGCTGCTTCACTGCCATTCCCTTGCTCAGGGCTGAGTGGGAGCCCCTGCAGAGGAGGGGGGAGGCGGGGCGCGAGGGGACAGAGCTCTGGCAGCAGGGCCCGCATGGGGTACAGGGTGAGCAGATGGTGTGTGTGACTGTGCACATGTGTGTGCGTGCATGTGTGTCAGGATGTGTAGCGGAGTGCTGTGGGGCTGCAGGTGGCTCTAGCCACTCCTCAGTATCCTCCTCGCTTTGGCTGCCAGGAAGCTCTAGATGAACGGTTCACACTGACTTCTTGCTGAGAGCTCGGGCCTGGGACTTCAGATGCAATTAGAAAAGCACCATTGCGGGTGAACCCACGTTCCAAGATTCGATCCCCTCCCCTCCCCCTCCCCACAGGCCCACCCTCACCCCAACCCCTCCCTCCCTCCCTCCGCGCCTCCCTCATTCTTCCCACTTACTCCGAAGGCCCGGGGACAGGTGGGTGCCACCTGCCGTCTGGGGGGAGCACTTCTGACACATGCACTCTTTCCCATTGAAGGTCACGCGGTCCCCAGGAGGAAAGGGAAGCCTGAAAGGAGAGAGCTGGTCACCCGCGGGCCGCCTGCAGCCATCACACAATACCAGGGGCAAACCGAGGGTCCCTCAGGGAGCGTCCCCTCCCTCGGTGCCGGGAGCCAGGGACTGTGACAGAGAGCCAGTGATCTGCAGAACAACCAGCCAGGAGCACTCCACCCCTCCCCCCACCCCACGCCTGCAATACTGTACATGCTCAGAGTGTGGGTAGATGGGTGGACAATGGATGGATGATGAACGGATAGATAATAGATGAATCGATGGATGGGTGATTAATGTATGCATTGATGATGGATAGATGATAGAGGATGGAGGATGGAGAATAAATGATGGGTGTGATGGATGGATGGATGATAAATGGATAGAGGATAAAGAGATGGATGGATAGATAATAGATGATGTGTGATGAATGGATAGATAGATGGAGGATGGGTAGATGGGGGACAGAGGATGGGTGGATGATGGATGATGATGGCTGGATGATGGATGGATGAGTGGATGGATGGATGATGATGGATGGATGATGGCTGGCTGGCTGATGGATGGATGAATGGATGGATGGATGATGATGGATGGATGATGGCTGGCTGGCTGATGAATGGATGTTGGATGGATGGGTGATGGATGGATCATGGCTGGCTGATGGATGGATGTTGGATGGATGGGTAATGGATGGATGGATGATGATGATGATGATGGATGGATGATGGATGGATGATGATGGATGGGTGATGGCTGGCTGATGGATGGATGGATGATGGATGATGATGGATGATGGCTGGCTGGCTGATGGATGGATGTTGGATGGATGGGTGATGGATGGATGATGGTTGGCTGGCTGATGAATGATGATGGCTGGCTGATGGATGGATGGATGATGATGGATGGATGATGATGGATGGATGAGGGATGAAGAGCTGCTGGCTGGCTGAACAAGGGAAGGATGGAGGCCCCGAGGAGCACAGCCTTGCCTAGCTTCTCCACAGCTGCCCCCACACCCTGGCCCAGTCCTGGGGCAGGTGGAGGACGCCCCAGCTCGGCCCGCATGCTCAGAGCCGGCAGTTCCCTGAGCAGAGGTGTCCTGGCTGCATCTGGCCAGACCCACTTCTTCAGGACGGAGCCCAGGACCCTGCCCTGCAGGGTGGGCCCGCGGCCTCTCACCGCGCTGGTGCGTGGTGGGCTCCCCTCGGCGTTCGTCCCGCAGCGCAGCGTGCGTCCCGCAGCGCAGCGTCCCGCAGCGCAGGGTCCGTCCCGCAGCGCAGCGTCCCGCAGCGCAGCCTCCCGCAGCTCCATCGCAGCGGGGGAGCGTCCCGCAGCGCAGCGTCCCGCAGCGCAGCGTCCCGCAGCGCAGCGTCCCGCAGCGCAGCCTCCCGCAGCGCAGCCTCCCGCAGCGCAGCGCCCCGCAGCGCAGCGCCCCGCAGCTCCACACAGCGGGGGAGCGGGGCCCTCGCAGTCGCGGGACGGCTGAGCGAATCCCCCACTGTGTAACTACAACAGTCACTCGGCCTGTGTGCTCCTGTTTCCTCCTCGAATCAGAGGCCACACGGCCTGGAGCCCCTAGCACGCCGGCTGGCGGGTCCTGGGCGTCGAGTAACTGTCCCTGTTCAGGTCATTGCCTGGCGAGTCTTTCTGCAGACATCAGCCTCGAAAGGTTTTTCTGGGATGGGGGTAGTGGTGGTATGCTATTGCTCGATGGGTGTTTCTTTTTATTTTCCTTTCGGCACTCAGAGACGCTATCGTGCTGTTCTCTGGCATGCGGGAGTTTCTGGTAGAAGCCTGCAGTCCCGCCTTCTTCTGTCTGTCTGTCTGTCTTCTCTTTATTGTGTTTAAGATTTCTTGTTTTCCTTCCCCCCCCCTCCCCGCCCCCTCCCGCACCGACGTTGTAAAGCTCGTTTTGGACATGACAACTTGTACTTCTCATTGTTGCAACAGGTCCACCTGTATCCTTAAACAACTGGTTTTTCCTCATCTCCTCCACAAGTTATACTGACATCAAATATAGTGAAAGCAGGGGTTATACTGTGGGGGAGGGACATACAAAGCAACAAAGAGATAATCTTATAAATGTGTTAGAAACACATGCATGAAAGAAAAAAACATTAAAACACACATCTAAGGGTTCATTTTCCTGACATCACATTATCTGACCTTTTATTTATTTGGGGAATAATGAAAATATTCTGGAATTAGAAGAATGGTACTACACTACTTTGTAAGTGAACTAAACACCCCTGAAATTTATACTTTACATTTTTTGCACATTTATGATGTAGAAATTTTCTTATAAAACTGTAATTGAAATTAAAAAACAAATTGACCTGTAAAAAAAAAAAAAGATTTCTTGTTTTCATTGGGTATCAACAATTTAATGATGAATTTGGTGGGGGTTTTGAGAGCATATTCTATTCAGGGTTCATTAAGATTGTTGGACCTATGGATTTGTAGTTTTAATCCGTTTTGGAAACTTTTCATTCATTTTTCTTCCTGCAAGAATATTTTAGTCTCTCCATTGTCCAGCAGGGAGATGGAAGGCCAGACAGGAAGAGTCTCATCTTCACCCACAGTTCACTAACGCTTTTGCACGCAGTTCAGTTTCTTTTTCTCCCTCCCTCCCGCCCTTCCTCCATCCCTCCCTCCCTCTCTCTTCCCATCCCCCCTACAGCTTGAAGGTTTCTATTGTTAATGTTCTCAAGTTGATGATCTTTTCTTCCGTGGTACCTAAGTTACTGTTAATTCCTTCCGGAGGACTGTCCATTTCAGGAACTGCACTTTTCACTTCCTAGCATTCCCATCCATATTTTCTTTTCTTTCCTTTTGTTTTCTTTTTGGTGGTATTGGGGCTTGAACTCAGGAACTTGTATGTGACTGGAAAGTGCTCTACCACTACAGCCACGCCTCCAGTCCTCACATGATCTTTCTGAGGCCCATCTTCATGTTTGATGAGTAACACATTATTGTCTCAGTTCTTGTCCTATTAGAAAGGGATGGAGCCTGGGCTGTCACTGCTGCATGTCCGGTGAGAGGATGGTCCACGCTGCTCAGAGATGGCATCCTGGTCCTGGACCATCCACGCTGCTCAGAGATAGCATCCTGGTCCTGGGTGTGGACCGTCCACCCTGCTCAGAGATGGCATCCTGGTTCTGGGTGTGGATGGTCCACACTGCTCAGAGATGGCATCCTGGTCCTGGGTGTGGACCATCCACAATGCTCAGAGATGGCATCCTGGTTCTGGGTGTGGATGGTCCACACTGCTCAGAGATGGCATCCTGGTTCTGGGTGTGGATGGTCCACACTGCTCAGAGATGGCATCCTGGTCCTGGGTGTGGACCATCCACAATGCTCAGAGATGGCATCCTGGTCCTGGGTGTGGACCATCCACAATGCTCAGAGATGGCATCCTGGTTCTGGGTGTGGATGGTCCACACTGCTCAGAGATGGCATCCTGGTTGTGGGTGCGGATGGTCCACACTGCTCAGAGATGGCATCCTGGTCCTGGGTGTGGACCATCCACAATGCTCAGAGATGGCATCCTGGTTCTGGGTGTGGATGGTCCACACTGCTCAGAGATGGCATCCTGGTCCTGGGTGTGGACCATCCACAATGCTCAGAGATGGCATCCTGGTCCTGGGTGTGGACCATCCACACTGCTCAGAAATGGCATCCTGGTCCTGGTGTGGACCATCCACACTGCTCAGAGATGGCATCCTGGTCCTGGGTGTGGACCATCCACACTGCTCAGAGATGGCATCCTGGTCCTGGGTGTGGACCATCCACACTGCTCAGAGATGGCATCCTGGTCCTGGGTGTGGACCATCCACAATGCTCAGAGATGGCATCCTGGTCCTGGGTGTGGACCGTCCATACTGCTCAGAGATGGCATCCTGGTCCTGGGTGTGGACCATCCACAATGCTCAGAGATGGCATCCTGGTTCTGGGTGTGGATGGTCCACACTGCTCAGAGATGGTGACCTGGTCCTGGTCCTGGACCATCCACACTGCTCAGAGATGATGTCCTGGTCCTGGGTGTGGATTGTGCATTCTGCTCAGAGATGGTGTCCTGGTCCTAGGAGTGGACCGTCCACACTGCTCAGAGATGGGGTCCTGGTCCTGGGAGTGGACCGTCCACACTGCTCAGAGATGGGGTCCTGGTCCTGGGAGTGGACCATCCACACTGCTCAGAGATGGTGTCTGGTCCTGGGTGTGGACTGTCCACACTGCTCAGAGATGGCATCCTGGTCCTGGGTGTGGACCATCCACACTACTCAGAGATGGAGTCCTGGTCCTGGGTGTGGATTGTCCATTCTGCTCAGAGAGAGCCTCCTGGTCCTGGGTGTGGACCGTCCGTGCTGCTCAGAGACCCCTTTCTTCCCAGGGATTATGAGGCACGTGGCTGCTGCCTGGTGAGAGGTACTCCTGATTGTTATCCTGGTGGAAGGGGGCTTCTGGATTAGTGAAGCCCATCTCTGGGTGTGTCTGGATCCATTTCTAGAGAGGATTAACAAGAAGGAAAACTGCCCTGGACGTGGGCAGCCCCATCCATTGACAGAGGCCCAGAGGGGACAAAGGGGAGGTAGAGGAAGCCTCTAGCACAGCCATTCTCTTTTGGCCGCTTCTCACCTTTCTGTGAAGATGCCCTACCGTGCCACAGCCCAGAAACGAGGGAGGCAGGAGAAACCTGAGACTCTGGGCCAAAACAACTCCTTCCTCTTTCTAAACTGTTTCTCAGCTTGCTATAGAGAGGAACCTCTCACCCCGCCTGTGATGTCCCCTTCATGTCCACACGGCTTTGAAATACGGCCCCAGACTCCAGGGCGCCCCTGCAGGCCTCCCACAGCCTCTGGCTTCCAACCACCGAGTCCAGCCCAGGATATGCCACGTTCCTCTTGGTTGTGCTGTCCTTCGAAACAGCGGGGCGCCAGGGCCAGCGCGGCCTGCTGCTTTCCTGTCCTCAGACCTGGGCCAGGACTCACACATGCGTCCAGTCTTCTGGTTGTTCCTGGCGGCTGGATAAACCCAGCGCGAGTCACTTCACACAAGCAGCGATGCAAGATGGTGGTCTCCAGAGGTGGCCACTGGGACAGGATGGGTCTGTGGCAACCTCACCGCTGGTGACCCTCCGCTGGTGACCCTCCGCTGGTGACCCTCCGCTAGGGACCCTCCTGTGCAACCCCAGGAGACCCTGTGCGCCATTGCTCTTTCATTGGAACCCCCATGTCCCGGGACCCTGGGTACCAGCCCCGGGTACACACTGTACCCACAGACAGTCGCTTAGGAACAGCACGAAGGGTGTGGCAAGCAGGGGACAACAGGACAGGAAATAGCTGGTTTTATTTTTACTCTTTGTTGAGCCCTGGAAGAAGGGATGTGTTGGAGCTGTGAGGGAGGGAGTGAGGAAGGAAGGGGTGGGGAGAGGCCCGGGAGGGCTGCCTGCTGGCGGCGTGCCCCGCCCTGGGGAGGACAGGCAGTGGGGCTGAGGCCCGGCACTGGCGCTCGGGGACATCTGGTCTGTCTGTGGTGACCGCCTGCCCAGGGCCGGCAGGGACCAGCACAGAGGCAGCGCCAGGGCCTGCGCCTGCCCTACTCTGTGGCCACAGTCGGGAGTGGGGAGGGGCGGCTGGAGTGGGGCTGTGGGGAGGGAAGGAGGCTGCCCACGTGGGAGGAGCGCCGTGGGACGCTGCGGGACCACCGAAGATTCCCAGCCTGCACGGCTCAGAGCCTGGCACACATCGTGTTGACCAAATGAACCAGTGAATGAATGAGGAGCACTAGGGGCTCACACCTGTGACTTAGCTACTCAGGAGGAGATCTGCAGGATCATAGTTCAAAGCCAGCCTAGACTCTATCTCCAAAATAATCAGCAAAAAGCTGGGTGTGGATCAAGTGGTTGAGCATCAGCCTAGTAAACAAGCCAAACAAGGGGAAAGCCCTGAATTCAAAGGAGAAGGAGGCAGGGAAGGAAGAGGAGGAGGAAGAAGAGGAGGAGGCGGAGGAGGAGGAGGTGGCGGCAGAGAGCAGTTGCTAGGGTCTGAGCCTGGCCCAGGACACAGACTTGGGGGCTGGTTGGAGTGGGGAGGAGGCTGGGCAGTCGGGGGGGAGGGGGACTCACCGGCAGACGGCGCACACAAAGCAGTTGGGGTGGTAGGTCTTGCCGAGTGCCGACACCACCTCGCCCTCGATGAAGCAGTCGCAGCGGAAGCAGCGGGTGCCGTAGAGCCGCTGGTAGTCCTGGGTGCAGATGTGCTCGCCCTGCCGCACGAAGAAGCCGCCCTCCGCCAGGTCACAGCCACAGGCTGGGGAGACGGAGGCCGGGCTGGCATGGAAGTGCCCGTCTGCGCCCCTCAGCTGATGCCCGAGGGCCCTCTCCATGCCAGGCCGCCGTGCCCAGCGCTGGATGGGGTGGGGGTGTGGGAGGAGGGAACCTCAACCCCGCGATGAGCCCCGAAAAACTGAGCTGGCGGTGATGCTGGGCCCTGTGGCTTTGCCACGCCTCCCTTGTCCCTATGAAACCTTCACCCCCGACCCTGAGCCCTGCGCGTGCCAGTGCCAGGCCAGGCCAGGAGGCGGAGAGCATGCGGGACCCTGACGGGGTTATTTTGCCTCCTTCCTGCCGCATCTCCAGGAAGCTGGAGCTGAGGAGCCCTGGGAGAGACTGGGGTGAGCTGGGGCGCTCCGTCTCAGGACAGCACTGGGGACATGGCGCCCACCTCTCACGGACAGGGAGCCCCACGCAGTCTCAGGGGCTACAGCCTACAACAGTACACCCGGCTGGCCCTGGTCCCCAAGCCCTGCGGCCCACCGTCCACGCCCGCCGCGGCCCTGCTGTCACTCACCGAGAGGCGGGCAGCTGGGACGCGCGGGCCCCGTGCCCCACTGTCCACACCCACCCTAGGACTGACCCCCGTGTGTGCTCTCCCCAGCCTGGCCCGTGCCCAGCAGCGCGGTCCTGATCAGGACAACAGGCCGCGGGGCTGCAGTTTTAGGCCCGGGCTTGTGGGCCTGGACGCAGGCTGGGTACTTGGAGGAGGAGGGAGGTGACACCCCCCCTTCCCCCCCCATGGGCTGCGGAGGTCACACGAGGAGGTGCACACACACAGCTGTCCAGCCCCGACGGCTGGAGCCTGTCCCGGCGCCCAGCCCGGGCTGCCTCAGCTGCTGGTCAGGCTCTGCCCGCCCCAAGGGCACCGAGGGCACCGGCGGGCGGCAGCGAGAACCCAGACCGCAGCCTCCTAAAAATAAAAAGTCCAAACTCACAGCAACCCGAGCCCTGGTGGAGACAATGCACGGCTTCGGGTGACAGCCCGCCCCGTATCAAGTTGACTAATGGGGGGGGCCCTCACTGGTGAGAAACCACAGAGGGGAGGCAGCCGGAGGGACGCGCCGCCCTGGCCTGGGGTCCCATCCCGCTCTCGCTCTGAGGAACCTAGCACAGCCCCTGCCCTTTGACCCCAGGTCCCTCTTCTGGGCCTCTAACCCACCGGACGCCGGGGAGATGGCAGGCGCTCCCGCCGCACCGCCTGGCCCCCGCCGCCAGCGGCTCCGTCAGCTCACCCTTGACGGTGACCTCTTCTCTCATCATGACCCCAGGACTTGGGGCTCACACAGCAAAAACGTCCCCAGAGCACAGAACCCTGGCCACTGGGATCACGAGACCACGCGCCTGTGTTTTCCCAGGCAATGTCAGGCACTCGGACCTACTCTGTGCTGTTCCTGCCCATCTCTCTTCTGCAGTGTGAGGAAGGAGCCAGCTCAGGGGCCACCAGGGCCACACGCCTCCTCCACCTCGAGCTGGGCTCTCGGTCCCCCTCCCCTGCCCCAGCGGCCCCTCGACAGTATGGCCCGGCCATGCGGGGGACCCTAAGGCCCTCACACACCCTCAGATCAAAGCCCAGGCCTCTCTTCCTCTCCCTGCCTCGCTCTCTCTCCCCCCTTCCCGGCTCTGCTACCCCCCCCAACCTGCAAGGCCCTGGCTGGAGTTCTGTCCCCCACACATCGCCAACCCTCCCCCCACCAGGGCCCACCCGGCCGGCACAAATCGGTGCCGAGTCCATTTACAGCAGGGAAGCTGGGCGAAGAGCCACAGGAGCTGTGGGTGGCAGAGGTGGGGTCTGACCTGGAACTTCTGAAGTCAAAGCCGAGACTGGGGCAGTCACAGGCAGAGCACAAGCTCTCCCAGGTAAACTGAGGCACCTCAAGCACGTGTCTGGGGCGGGAACGAGGCACAAGTGGACAGTGGCACGTTGCACCCCACGCCAGTGGGCCTGGCGTCAGCCCCCGGGGATGGCCCTGACCGGCTCCGTCCATCCCGACCCCCATGTCCTCTTTGTCGGGGGGGGGGGCCTTGGCCGTGAGTCTCTAGGAAAGTCCGTGGGGGGCTCAGGGAGAGGAGAGGATTCTGCTTGCACAAGTCTCCACCAGCTCCTCCTGCGCCACTGCACCCCGAGAGGCTGTGGTGTGCAGCTGCGGCAACCATCAGAGCAGGCAGTGGTACACACCTGAGCGGGGAGAACTGCCCAGGCCACGGATCCCCTCTAAAACCCCAGACAGCCACACCCTGAGCCAGCCACCGCGGTGGTACCCCCCCCCCCCCAGCCGGAGCCCATGCCCACAGCAAGGGGACCTGAGCCAAGAAGGGCCCCGCACAGGTGTGTGCACGGTCATCAAACCCACGGAGGGCCCTGGTTCCAGGCTCCCTAGCAACCCCACCCACATGGGCTAAACACCAGCCCTGATGGCTTCCAGTCTGAACTGCTCGCCCCAGCCTCCAGCTGCAAAGCCCCTGTGCCAGGCAAGTACCGACTCTCTGCCACCTCCCTGCCCTTCTCCGTCCTGCTCTTCCCTCCAGCAGCGTCCTGACCTTGGCTTTGCTTCTGCACCCAGGGACGGCTGGGTCAGCTCAACCACTGGGGACATTCCTGCCCCCCTGGGACTGGGCACCGCGGAGATGGAGAATGAAGGCAGTTCCGTGACCCTGCTAGGTTGTTAAGTCTCCCAGCCCGGGGTGCTGGGGGAGGGGGTTCGGTCCACCTCTGGACTTCAAGTTAAGGTGACAAATGTCTGTGCTGTTAAGACACCTCCAAGCTGGTCTTCTTGTCATTCAAGCAGAAGCACCTGGACTCGTCCTAACTTGCATTTTCCTGAGCACTGGGTTGGGGTGAACCTGCGGGAGGGCCGAGGCCAAGTCACCCTGCCACAGAGACACGGGGCCACCCACGGAGGCCGAGCCGCAGGGCCACCAGGGCTCAGCCCCACCCACCTACACCTGGGTGACCTCGTGTGACCGCCAACCCACACAGAGCTTTAGAGAAAATCCTTTTAAACAAAGCCTGTGTTCCCGCTGTCTTTTCAAGCAAGCGCTTCGAAAGCAATCGAGTGGATTTTGCTTTTCATAAACGGAGCAAATGTCTTTGGGGAGAGTTGGGGGAATTAAGCCAGGCAAATCTCAAGAGGACACTGGGGCGGAGGCCGGAGGAAGGCAGGGGACAGGGACAGGAAGGCAGCTGCCTCTTCTCCCCAGGAACACCCCCCCCCTCCACACACACACTCAGAGTCCTTCTGGGCCTGTACCACGCGGGGCGGGGGTACAGCAGCCTCCACGACCTCCTCACCCAGGAACAAACTTCGGGTACTACGGGTCAGGGTGTCTTCTCCCTGTTCTTCAAACAGCTCCCTAGCCACTGTCCAGGGGGCAGGGGGCGGGGGCCCTGCCCCTAACACGGAGACACTGGCCACCACTGTTGGACCTGTAATGGGGTCTGCGGGAGGACAGGTGTAATGTAGAGGGTCACGGGGGGGGCACCAAGGTGGCTGGGATGTGTGTGTGACCCCTGCCTCCGGGTGACGTCCCTGGCAGCACCCACAAGCCGAGGGGGCCTTGGGGGGGGGAGAGGGGGTCAGCCCTGCACGAGACCAGGGTTCCTGTCCCTGAAGAAGATGCGCAGCCCCCGGAGGGCACGCTGCGGTCCCTCGGCCCTGGGCCCTGCTCATCTGGCCATGGAGCCAGGTGACTGCGGGATCTGAAGTCTGTGATGCAGACATGGAGCCTTGTCCTGCCGCCTTCCTCACGCACAAAGCTCCCAAATGCAGACCTAACCAGGGCTCCCTGGACGCCGTGCGGAGTGCTGGTGGGCAGCCGGAGGCCGGCCGTGGCGCCCGGGCCGGGTCTGTGGGGGCCGGGTCTGCGGCCGCTCCTCCAGGCCCGGGCTGCGCACGGCCACGTGTACTCACCCTTGCAGACGAAACACTTGATGTGGAAGTACTTGTTCTGCACGCGCAGCACCTCCCCCCGACACACGTTCCCACACGTGTTGCACAGGATCGCCGTGCTGGGCGGCTGTTCCGGGGGGCTGCAAGCAGCCTGGGGCTGCGACACTGTGGGGAGAAAGCAGCCGGGTTACAGGGGACGCGTTCCGGGCCGGGAGAAAGCCCACCCGCGCCCCGCCAGCGCCGGTCCACAGGGCCCACTGCGCTCTGTGGCTGCTCCCCACACAGTGGTCCTGCCGCTGGCGTGTGTGACACCAGGGTCACACTCACAACGTCACACACCAGCACCGCTGCAGCCCCAGGCCGGGGGGGGGCTCACCCAGCCACAGCTGCTCAGCCAGGAGACCATACCCGTCCCGTACCCGCCGCCACCAAGCCCTGCATCCAGCCAGGATGGGCGGGGCTTCTGTCCTCCTCTGCCAGGAGGCCAAGTGGGAAGCATAGAGGGGGGACGGGTGCCATCGGGACAGAAGGCCTGCCCAGGCCCAGGACTCAGGATAGCTCAGGTACTGAGCATGGGCTGTCCAGAGAACGGCGGGCATCGGTCTGCAGAAACAGAGGCAGGATGGGACCTCAGGAAACGGGATGGCAAACAGGGCGGTGCAGAGGCAGCCAGGGTCCCTGGGAGTGACAGTGACAGTTTCTTCCCACCCACTGCTACCCTCCCTGGGGGATGGGAGACGTGGGGTCACCTGGTCCAGAACGCTGCCCTAGCTCTACTTCCTAAAGGTCACAGCCTTTGGGGGGGTTCTTGAAAGTCCCTCTGTCAGTCCTTCTGTCTGACCTGTCCATCCACCCACCTTCCTTCTGCTGTCATTGCTCAGCCCTGTGGGCATGGAACCACAGGCTCTGCCTAGCTACCAGTCCACCACACACCATAAACAATGACGTTGCTATTTGCAAGGACAGATGGGCTCCAGGGATGAGACCCGGATGCGGCACTGGTCTGGAATGCACAGGGCCCTTGACTCGGTCCCAGCCCCCAGAACAAGACCAGAAAACACCGACCATGACAGTTCACAGATTACTGGAAGTACATTTGATCTGGGGTAGAAGATTATCAGAGTGTGTGTGTGAGTGTGTGTGTGTGAGTGAGTGTGTGTGTGTGTATGCTAGTGTCCTGAGTCTTGAACTCAGTGCCTAGGTGCTGTCCCTGAGCTCTTTCGCTGAAGGCCAGCACTGCCACAGCTCCACTATTGGCTTTTCTGGTGGTTAACTGGCAATGAGTCATAGACTTTCCTGGGTAGGCTGGCTTCGAACCGAGATCCTCAGATCTCAGCCCCCTGAGCAGCTGGGGTGACAGGTGTGAGCACCAGCGCCCGGCTGGTGGGGGAGAGCTATTTTAGCGGTTCATTGTCCAACGGCGCCTGCCCCACCTGGGGCCCCCGACAGCCCCTGCACCCCGCCTGCAGGCCAGTGGCAGGTGCTGCCCTCTGGTGCTGGGAAGTGGTACTGCACCACGTGGACCACACCTGGCAGCCCAGGGCAGGCAGTTGCTGCAGGTTTCTTGGCTCAGCAGCTCAGGCCCGATTAGCACAGGCTGGCAAACCTCAGCGCGTTGGAGATGAGTGGTGGACTGACCGACACCTCCCCCCAGACGGTGGTGACACACACAGCGGTGGCTCCCGGAGGGGACTGTCCCCTTCAGGGCAGCAGGCTGACTGCTGCCACCAGGGCTCACAGAGACGCTCCGCCCATGCAGGTCAGCGCCGGGCTGCACACAGCAGTGCCTAGGGTTTGTCTCTGTGGCCCCGGGACAGGGTAAGTCCATCACAGTCAGCTGCCCTGGGATGCCTGGGCCGGGAGCTGTGCACGGGAAGCCGAGGTCACTGCCCACGCTGAGGGGAGGGTGCGTGAAGGCTGGACGCTGGCAGGGCCCAGGGGACCCAGGGCCTGGGGACTGTGTGAGCCTCACCCATGACTGGTCTTTCTGAATCTGCTCCAAAGCTGGGACTCGGGAGCCAGCTGGCACGTTCCACTCTGGAAGGCCAGGGGTGGCCTGGCGGCCAACAGTGCAAGCACAGTGGCCGGCGGGGAGCAGGCCTCCCGACAAAGGCTCGGGCGCCTCCCAGGGTGGGCCGGCTCCTGACTCCCCCCCCTCCCCCCCCCTCCCCGGCTCAGAGGCTCTGCCAGCCAGCGGGCAGCCGCGGGCAGCGTCTGAGGGGGAGGGGGGCAGCACATAATTTAAAAATTGTTTTGTGTGCTGGTATGAAGGCCTGAACTCAGGACTCTCTCCCTTGGCTTTTCATTCAAGGCTGGCATTCTGGTACTTGGGACACACAGCTCCATTTCTGGCCTTTTCACAGAGGGGCGAGACTCCTGCACTTTTCTGCCCAAGGCTGGCTTCAGAAAACCTCAGTCCTCAGATCTCAGCCTCCCAAGTGGCTGGGATGACAGGAGTGAGCTCAGGCTCAGCTTTTCTCCGGCCCACGGTGCTTTGGCTCCATCGGAGAGGCAGGCAGGCGTTTGCTGTGCCCTCTGGATGCCCCCCGCCCCCCGAGGCCAGCACGGTGGCCCACTTCACAGGCGAGCAGCTAAGTGGTGCAGGGAAGCCGGAGTTCAAGGTACTCGGGCCCCCGCATGTTCGATCTGTGTGTGCCAGGGCTGAGCCTTGAACTCAGGCCCGCATCGCCCGTTAGCTTTTTCACTCAAAGCTAGCACTCCTGAACCCTAGCTCTACTTCCAGCTTTTTGGTCATTTGAGTCTCACGAACTTTCCTGTGCAGGCTGGCTTTGAACCATGATCCTCAGATCTCAGCCTCCTGAGGGGCGGGGATGGCAGGTGAGAGCCACCGGCGCCGGGCCCAGCCACGTTGTCTTACCAATGCCTTCAGTGGTGATGCAGACACCCTAACTCAGCAAGGCCTGCCCAGCCTGTGACCCCACGGCTGCCTCGCCCTGAAGGCTGGGCTGGGTGCACGCCAGGGACAGAGGAGACTCCGCCCCACACAGCCGGCCGTACGCCCACTACAGAGAAATGCCCCCCAAGGCAGGAAGGGAAACAGGCCCGTGGGGAAGAGCTCTTGCTGCCAGCAGAGAATGGAGAACCCTGCCCGTAATAAGAAGGGGAGGGGCGGGGGTGGGGCTGAACACGCAGGGCAAGGAGCATCTGGGGGCGCTGATGCGGCTCTGTACCACTTCTGCAGGGGTGGACACAGGCCACAACATCTGTCCACACTCAGAACCCACAGCGCCAAGCATGGAGCCTGGCATACGCCGTCCCTCTGGTTCAAAACAGCAAATCAGCCAGGCACTGGCGGCTCATGCCTGTCATCCTAGCTGCTCAGGAGGCTGAGATCTGCGGATCACGGATCAATGTCCGCCTAGCCAGGAAAGTCCGTGAGACTCCAATTAACCACTAGAAAACTGGAAGTGGTGCTGTGGCTCAAGTGGTAGAGAGCTCTCCTTGAGCTGAAATGCTCAGGGACAGCGCCGGGCCCTGAGTTCAAGCCCCACGACCGACACAAACAAACAAAAACAACACCCAGTCAGCACTGGCTCTTGTTCTGCACATACACGACACACAGCGCCAGGCACCCCATGGGGGAAAGCCGGGCCGGCGTGGGGAACACACACGTGGGACGTCTCTGAGCTTCCTGCAAACTAAAAACTGATCAATAACGCCTATTTATAAAAAACTGAAACACTGAGCCAAAGGGTAGAATATGCCAAAGGTGCCGAACCACCAATGGAATGAATGGATAAAGAAAAGACATTGTTTGGACAGTGGACTAGTACTCAACCATAAAGAAGACGAAATTAGGTTATTAATTGGAAAAATGGATGGAATTAGAGATCATGTCGAACAAAATAAGATAATCTCATAAAAGACAAATAGCACGTATGTTCCCATATCTGTGGTACAAACAGCTAAGAAATATAAGTAGGTATACACATACTTTTATACGTACACTTCTATAATATATAATATTATATAGGTTATATATATGGAGAGAGAAGGGCGGGCGAGGGTGTGTAGCTGTGACTATGGCTGGGGATTTTAGGGAGAGAGAGAACAGGAGCAGTGTTGGAATAGTCTAGGTACGCAGACGGCATAAGGAAGCTCACTGCCAGCTGCTGAACGAAGAGGTTGGAGAACAGGGAGAGAGAGCAAGAACCTGGCTAGATCATAATCTATGCATGTGTGAAATCCAAGATGGAATTACTTTGTACAGTTAATACACTTTCTTTTTCGTTGATCATGGGGCTTGAACTCTGGGCCTGGGCGCTGTCCCTCAGCTCTTCAGCTCAAGGCGAGCGCGCTCTACCACTGGAGCCACAGCGCCACTTCCTGTTTTTTTGGTGGTTAGTTGGAGACACGAGTTTCATGGACTTTCCTGCCCCAGCTGGCCTAGAGCCATGATCCTCGGATCTCAGCCTCCAGGACAGCTGCAGGTGTGAGGCACGAGGGCCTGAAATGCTTTGAAGGAGAGGGAGGGCGATGGGGGGAGAGGGGGTATGGTGTCAACGTGTGTGGAAATGGACAGTGACGCCCTTGTACGATTCAGAGGTGCTAATAAAAGCCTTTTTAAAAGTGTAAACACTGGAGAGGGAACTACAATACCTGGGGACCTTGGCACATGCGTGCAGCCCAGCTGCGCTGTAATTTCCAGATGGGCTTTCGTGTTAGGCGGCGGCCGCCCGCTGGGGTAATGACAGGAAGCAGACTGGAGAGCACTGGGAGCTCTGACCGTGAGCCCTGCAGCCATGGATGCCCCGTTCCTTCACTGGGGGGGGGGGGGCTCCCTCAGGGCGGGGCCCGCGGCCCTACCTCCAGCCCCCAGCCCCCAGCGGGCTTCCTGCCTCCTGCCAGCCCAGGCCCACTGGAAGCCTGGGTGGGGTCAGAGCTGAGGAGTTTGGATGGGGGAGACGCCGGCTCTGCCGTCGCCTCTGCAGCCGTGAGCACCCACGCTCTGCCCCGGTGGCATGTCCTCACCCCTGGCAGCCCTCTGGTGGAGCTACTGTCCCCCGGGGGTCCCGCAGTGCAGCCCCCTCATCCACCCCCGGGGGGCAGCGCAGGAGGGGGGCCTCACCCCTGCTTCCCCCTCCCCACGTCAGAGTGCACAGTCTTCCTTCTAACCTACTTAGGGGCCGGCTGCTAATTATAAC